AGATGTACATTCAATTTTACTGCTCTAAAACCCAAATGCCCTAGGTCCCCCATCCCTACTTTGAATGGGGGATGTTAGAGTTGAAAATTCCATCATTCATAAAAATTTGTGTTGGCCAAAGTCTTTTAAGCTTTTGTATCCACCAAACCTGAACCAACATGTTGTTTGACTATATTCCCATTCCCTCTTAGTTATAGTCTCCTACTTCCTCATCAGTGGAGTTCATGAAGTACTCCCAACAGGGACAGTTAACTCTGATTACATTCTCCATCAGTTGACGTAAAATGACAAGTGATTCCTTCCTCTTCAGTCATAGGCTTACCCAGGTCCAGTACCCTTACCGTATTTCCTTTATACCTTTGGTTCTTCCTGAAGCACTCAAAAACCTTGCTTCTTTGCATATGTTCCCATTGGTCAGATGATCGGGTTCATACAGGTTTCTAGAAAAAAAACAACTCAACAGCAACATGGGCAGTATCTGCTTTTACTGTTCTGAAGGACTTTTCCTGTGCCTGACAAAATTCCAAGTTAGAAGCAGTTGGTCTGATCTAAGACGTTGAAGAATTAAAGAGCAGCAGGAGGGACCCCCCCCCCAAATGTTAACCTTTCTTTTTCTCAGATTATTATGATTTTATTCTCCAGGATCTCCCCCCTGTCTTATTTTTACCCATTTTTTTTTTCCTATGGGATTATGGATACTTAATCATCTTTGTCAATTTCTCCCATCTGCCTGTTAGGCTATTTTAGGGAAGCACTTCTCTCAAGTTTTGTGCCAAATGGAAGAAAAGCAGCAAAATTCAATTTCACCAGTTATTATCTTCACTGGTACTTCTAGTGAGAAGTTCAAATCATAATGGGAACTTTTAGTGGGGCTATTAATAAAATATGAGGTGTTGCTGGAAGTTTAATGGTTGGATCTTAGAGAGCCCCTAAGAGCAAGATGTAGAGTTGCCAAAATGCTAAATGAACTTCCTTTACCAGGTGACTTTTACCCTAAAGACAGTCCTTTGTCTTGAACATAGTGATAAAATCTTAAAATCATAGTGATAAAATCTTAAAATCTTAAAATCAGATTTCAAATATTTATCATTTCTCTGACCCTACTGCAATAGAAAAATCAAAAACATGTGGCATCTTTTTAAAAAGTTGTTTTCATTTTGCACTTGTTAACATTATAAATGGATGAATTTGATAAATATGTCTTGTTGATCTTCAAGGAATTCTTCATAAATGTAATCCTAGACAGTAATTTGTAAGGCTCTTTTTGTCGTTTTGTTTGTTTTTGCCTTGCTACTTTTGTCTTTTCCCCCATGACTTAGGTACTTGGAATTAAAAGACAGTCAAGGAAATAAAATGACACTGAATGTACAGTACTTTCCATTCTGTGAGAAAACTATTGGGAAACGTGATAAAGATCCATGAAAATCTACAAATGCTTACTGACGAAAAGTTCTAATCACACTCAAATGTGATGGTGGGCTTGAAATTGGCATGGGGATAAGCAAATCGCTAAAGATAAATGAGCAGCCGCGGCGCCCTTTTACATTTCTGGTTATGAAGACGTTGGTAACAGAACAACCTTCTCATGGAAAGACACACGCTACATTTATAAAACCTGAGAAGTGTATGATTCCTACAGTGACAATGTAATATAAAGCAGAACAGACATTGACATTTTTGCCATTTTGTCTATGCCTTAATCCTTATTTAATCTTGGTCTGACTCCTAAGAAATGCTGGTTTCCAACATGGTTATTGAACCATTGGTTGAACTGCTTGCATAATTTACTGTGTACGTTGGAGCAACCACCTTCTGCCCTTAGGTTTCTTCTATAAATAAAGGATAGGCTCAGACATACATAACTCCTAGATTTAAGGGTAAAATAAGATATATATGAAAACTGTTGGAAGAGTAAAGAGATGCCATCCGTAACAAATCATGGAATACTTTCTACTCTGCTCCGGGGGACTACCTAGTAATGATGGGGTTTCCTGATCTCGATGCATCCACATCGCTGGGTCAGGCAGTGTGACATGTATTCACAAGGACAACAACTTGAGCCTGATATTATTAAAATTTAATCTTCTGTATTTGGAAGATGTGTTTGTATACAGAATTTTCACCAGAAAGGTTTTATAGCAAACTTTTTATGTCAGAAGTTTATTTTATTGGTAAAATATTAAATAATATACAGAATTAAAAACTGCACTTACACTTCTGAGAAGAAATAAATCTTGGACAAATTATATGCTTGTTCCTGAGATTTCCTAAATTTATTCCAGTAGCTGTGCACTCAGACAGTACAAACCGTTATAATATAATCCTTTTCACAAAGTATTACAAAGTTTCTGCAGCTTCTTTAGTGGTACACACATACAGACACACACTCACACATGCATATACAACACTCATACACGTATACACAGTACCCACATACATGCACAGAACATGTATGTGTGTGCATTAAAAACAAGAAAATACCAGTCCACATTTTAGTCTGCAGTGACAAAACTGTTTAGCAGAGGTCTCCAAATTGGTAATATAGCAGAATGACTTTTCACACAGCTGCAAAGACTGTTTCAATATTTCCATAGTAAACCTCATTTTCTGAGGTATTGTATTTGAGCCTTAAAAAAACTATATTACACTGAGCAAACCTGACATACAAGGTCTGGAATTTTAATTTTACATATATATTTATATATATTTCTTTTTTAAACAATTTTTATTTTCCCAAATTATTAGTTTGAAAAAAAATGAGGTTTACTGGTTTGACCTATTTTTTTTTCTTTTGCTTCTAAAACTCAAAATATCCTAGAAACTGTCAAGCAATTAGTTTTTAAAGTAGTCTAATTACCTTTGGTATTGTTAAAGAAAAAAATCTAAAATGGCCGAGACACATACTATACAAATGCAGTAACTGCCTTTAAAAGAAATGCCAAAGAAATGTCATCTTTTAACAAAACATGTATTTACAATACAGCAGTTTTACTACAGGGACACAGGTATAAAAAAAGAAAACCAGCATTCTACATATAAATATGTATGATACGAAAAATACTTCTTACTTAAATTTGTATGAAAACAGTGCTCCAAATATTTCTTAAAAATTGTCTTCAGTAGGTGATAGGTGTTTAAAATTGAGCTAAGTGCTTTGCTTTTATTTTAAGGTTCATTTCCAAGAAAAGGAAAATGAAATAAAAAGTATTAGGTTCTTAATTTAAAACACCAGGCAAGGGTAAGAAGGAAATTGTCTTTAAAAATTGCAACTTTTTCAACTTTAGGACACATTTCTCAGGCAAAAGATTACCAATTCCAATGAAAATTTAGCCTAAATATAGATACCATAAGATTAGACTAGTGGTTTTGACATTCTCTAATCTTTTGACTATGGAGTGTTTTATTCTTTCTTTTTGTTCTTTTTTTTTCTCTTTGCCTGTTGTGTCCTTTAACTAACATACCATGATTTTCAAGGGTTTCTTTTGTCAGTAACTAAAGAAAGAATAGGTTAGTATTAAAACAAAAAACAAAAAACAAAAAACATAGTTTTTAAGACTTCAAGGAAAGTATTGCACTTGTACAGAAAGAAAAATACCTTTTGAACTAAATAGCAGAAGCAATCATTGTGGGATTGCAAATAACACATGGTCTAAAAGATCCAACTATTAAGAGCAAATATGAAGCCTGGAGAGCCCCCTCCAAACCTGGAATATTATTATAGTAAATGTTAAAGCATTTTCTCCCAACTGGGAGATAGTTAAGACTTTTTGCTTTAGACTTTTAACATCTTTCTAAATTCTTGCAAAAAACTGTTTAATCTCTCATACATTTTAGAAGGAAAACTCAACAAAAAAGGAAGGCAAACATACCATATTATGATGACATAATCTCTGAAGTCCTATTTTAGGTACCCAATATTTGAAAATGAAAGTAGCACAAGGGTTATATACCTTACTATTTTTAATCCAACTACTTCTCTTTTTAATATAAAACTACACTTGAGTATAAAAATATGTCAGCAAATTATACAGCCAACAAAATCACACAAAAAATGTTAAGACTTAAGAGACCGATGAATCAGAAGAGTTGACCTAAACTTCACACCAGTGGGGGAAAGAGAGGCAGAGATGTCCAGAGGCAGTGATGGAGGCGATGCAGACAGGGCAGACAAAAGACGGAGGGTACAGGGAGGAGACAAAAATTTAAGAGCTAACAAAGAATTTCGTTACACAGAATGGGAAGTGATATATGTTCAAAATCTGAGAGTGCTTGACACTCGAAATGTTTTATCACAGTTTCAGAAATTGAACTACTTAAAAAAACGCACACAAAATAATAAAACAACCAAAACCAAAACCCAGAGTCCTTCCCTTGTTACAGTGTATTCATTTTTTAAAAATCCATTTCCAGTAAATTAAGTAGAATCCTGATAAGTGCATAGTAGGGGATCTAGTGACCTCCACCCGTTTGAGAAGCTTTTCTTACTGTGTGTCACTTGAGGTAATTTGAAGGGCCCAGTTAACTGCAAACTGGCTTATCTGTACCTTTATGAAATTACATGCTATATTTTATGTGGCTTAGCAGAGGGCCTCTAAATTTTATATTTTATTCACAATAAAAAGGACATCTTAGAAAACTAGTCATTCACGTACCACTCTCTGTATGGGGTAAAGGTTAATTCACAACAAATTTATACAGAAAATATACAAATGCAATGTTATGGGAGAAAAACCCCACAAACAGAATTAGGAACTTATTTCTAAGAGTGCATGTGAAAAATATCCACAAACTTACAGTACAGCAAGAAAAAACTAAGAAGCTAGAAATATAATGTTACATAAAAACTTTATGGAAATCCCAAAATTTTAGGTTTCTGCAATAAATGTAAAAATATTCACGGTGTCATTATTTGGCCTAGCAATACACTATGATAAAAAGAAACACTAGCATATCACAGCTTCTTGGTCATATGACATTTGCTTTGTATAACAAGCAGCTTGTTTTTGTTTTTTTTTAAAAAGCTGTCATATCCTAACACATCCATTGCAAGTAATACACAATCATGGTAGGAAACCATTTGAGATTATGCTTTGGAGAATAGCAATGTGATATGACTGTTCAGTTTTGTTTTGTTCAAGGAGAATTAATTACCTGCTTCTTTACATTTTCCATAAAACATTAACAGATTAGGAGACAGGTTCTCAGACTAGTACAACACTAGTCTGTAAATGAAATTCTAAAACAATACTGTATTTTATTGACCAAAAATTCCACTAGTAAAGCCTTGTGTGATACTAGAAATTATTCTTCCTTAAAGACAAACAAACAAACACCACATACCATAACGCAATTCACAGCTGAAATTTCCCTCTATGCCATATTTTACCTACGTGATCTTGTAACGGTATTCAGAAATACTATCAAACTAGTAAGATTAAAATCTTGTTTCAAAGTTTCCTTTTACTTTAAACAGATGAGCTGAAATTCTCTGTATTGGAAATTCCTCTAATAGTTTTGCTCTAAGAACACGAAGATGTATTCTATAGTACTCAAATTTAAGTGGTTTTTAAAAATACATAATAAAAGTGTTTGTAGCGCTACAATAGCTAACCAACACTCTCTCAATGCATTTTAAAAAGGCACCAATATAAAGAAATTTTATAAGTATTTAATACATTAAAGTCAGGATCTTAAGATACCAGTTACTGTATATTTTAATTATTTTGCAGAAACTGGTGGTTTAAAAACATTTCTAAGATAACTCTCATATATACAAACTTCAATTTCACCCCTACTCTTTTTTTCTTTTGCGTTTGGGGAATTTTTTTTTTTTTTTTTGACAACCCCATACGGATAGTACTTACTAAAATAATATATAAAATATAACTAAAGATGACCACATATGTAACATATCCCTTTCTGTAAAACGAACTTTTCAAAGTAAAAAAAAATAATAATAATGTAGCCAGTACCTCTTATGATCCAAGTTCTGTCTTGACACTAGGGGCATGCAGATTTTTGTTTGTATTTTTGTAGTTTTTCTGTTCTTTTTTCTACTTTACAGAATCATTTTGGAGACAGGATGAAATAACATTTGGAGAATTAGTAAAACATAATTTTCATCTAAATGCTTTCACTAACGTGTATTTTGTAAAACCTTTATAACATATAAAGACTTCATAGTTTTATGAGGTGTAGAACTGATACACAATAACTGTAAGGAAAAACAACATCAAGCTCACTAAAATATTCTGGTCTTTCTCCTTTGCTAACAAGTAAAATTAATCATTTTTCTTTTCTGTATCTTCCTATTCCAAAGTTATTTGTGTTTCTTTCACTTTGGAAGTTATACCAAATCAGCTTAAAGATCTTTTTGTGTGTTTTGACTTCTTCTGGAAATAGACTGTAAAGACCCAAGGTTTAAGTTTAATAGTTGAACTAGTCCTAAAGACACACTAATAACTTCTTTAATATTTGTTAATACAATCTGGTAAATTTCATAAATTGCTCAGGTATTATAATTTTAACTCTTTATGTGCTTTTGCAACACATGTGGTCACTAATTGCTCCTTTTCATTTTAAAAGAGTGTGTATGTATGTACAAACATACACTGTTGCACATATACAATTGGTTTTATGTACGTGGGAAAGACATACCCTACTTTGTAGCCAAATCCAAATCCCAGTCTCTCATTCTCCCATTTTGTCCCACCAGAAAAATTCTCAACGGAATGTTTTAACGACTTGAAATCTCTTCCAATCTGCTTATTGGTCATTTTCACGGTTCTAGAAAGAAAGCCAGATTAGGATGGCTTTTTAAAAGTGATTGACCACTGTTAGAGAGAGGCAGCACATATCTCCAACAGGAGCTGGAGATAAATTTCTGGGCAAAATTAGGGCAAAGCAATGTGATGAATTTCTGAATTTTTGCCAAACTAGAAAACAGAGGCTAACCCATTTTCATGCCCCTCAAATACTCTGTAATGTGAAATCTCACCTAAATAAACTGGGCATATAACTGTTATGTAAAACTTGATTTATTTGGTGTCTGACTCTCATATTTATTTTTAGGCCCTAACAACTTGCATATTTCCTTTTGTGAAGAAGGAGGCATGCAAATATAGTCATTCAGAGTTTCCCAGAAAGCACTGTGCCCACAAAAATTCTTCCTAACCTGCACATTTGAATTGACCTCGTCCTCATTTGTCCCTGCCACACCCTGTGCCATCTTTACCTCTTTCTGTTCCTCATATTGTGAAGTTAAGAAAGTGTAAGTGTCCACTTGTAGCAAATACACTCTCACAAATACTAAGTCCCTTCAATAAAAGAGATTTCCAAAGAGGTGAAATGAGAAAAGGAGAGTACATTAGTACGGTCTTCATGGGGCATTAGACAACTCTTTAGGTCCACCTAAAATTCAGCTTCATCCCAGGACAGTAGGGTACATGATAGTTCATACACTGAAAAGAACAAACAGTGAACAGGAAGAAAATTCCTAGATGATGCCAGCAGAAATCCACACATAGCCAAAGTGATGAACATATTATCTGCCATCCAAATGATTCCTTAAATTGCAGTAAAACACAGAATCAGGAACCTTAAATTATTTAGCTTCCTCCAAAAAGGAAAAAAAAAATATGAAATTCTAATCTTTTTGAGTGGTTAGGGTAGGGGCAGTAAGGGAGTCTCAAAAACATGCTTTACCTTTGGATATATTGTATGTTCACAATATACCAAAGCATGCAGGGGGGTAAAAAGGTGACATTCTATTTAAAACATTTCATGTCTCTGTTTTGGTACATTCTCTTTGATTTAAAGGAACAGTTTGGATATTTCTCCAAAAAAAATTACAAGAGAGGCCAGTAAAGGAGAGCTGAGTTATAATCATTTTTGCCTAGCTCTAGCTGTGTTAGTGCTTAGAAGTCACTTAAATCAGCAGATGATAAATGAGAAAATGAGAAAAGAACAGTCAGTACTGGGGTCAGATTTGCTTCTCTGTCCATAGGTCTCTAATCTTGCTAGTTCTCACATCATCTGTATTACACAGTTTCAGCATCCTATTTACTGACTTTTTTTTGTTGTTGTTGTTAGAGCAGTTATCAGTTACTGCTTAACAGAATCAGTATTCATAAATGGCTAACAGATAATCCAGTCATGGACAGGCCTGTTATCCCTCAACACAAGCAGCAAGTTCTGCATCCAAGTGTGACTTGATCCAAATGACTCAATCGCATTTGGTTTCTCCCCTCTAATGCTGTTGGACTGCAGAGAAAAAAACAGCACCCTTATAAATGAAATAAAAAATTTGCACATGAAAAATGGCAACATATGTATGGATTAAAAGAAGAGAAAATTTTTACTAAGGGATTGAGATTCCTTTCTGACAAGGACTTATACATAGTTGAATGTTTTCAAGACAGAAAAATGTGCAGGACATGGTAACTTTCACTTGGAGGTTAGATTACCTTCTAGACTCCAAGAAGGGTAAAAATAAGTTTTGTTTTTTGTTTATCTATAGTCTAATGTACAGGTTACAAAGAAGTTCCCTTTTCCTTGCACCAAAAGTGGTAAATATTATTATTGAAGAAATACTAGAATAAATAGCCCTAATTCTACGACCTTATGGGGTTCAAGTTATCACATTCAGGTAGAATTAGTAATTTTGCTCCAAGATTTGGAAAGCAAAAATCTATAGCAAGATTTTTATGATCTTCTACTCAAATAGTAAAAGATGATGGACTATGGATAGAACACTGGGTGGTCACAGCTTGAAAAAACCAGTGAAAAGAGACATACCAGAAAAGGGATTTCTGAGTGGGTTTTTTCCCCCCTACTGTTAGCCTAATTATATTTTTCTGCTGACTGGTTAACACTGCTTAAATGCTGATAAAGTGACAATCGTAAGCATACTTTTAGAAACAAACACGCATACCTTGCTGCCATCACATTACAACTTTAAAAGAAAACTTCCCAAACAAATTTATGAAAAGTAGAGGTCCTTTCTGGAAACTACTGACTGCCTCTTAGCCACTCTTAGACCATATGTTATTCTTAAAACTAGATAAAAATTCTATTCATTAAAGGTGTTAAAAGTAAGGCTGCCAGGGTGTCTATAAAATGCCAGTCATCAAAACTATGGAAAACAGTGCTTAAGTTTAGAAAAATAAGATCATAGGACCTCAGATGTATTGTAGGTGTCCTTAACTACCTGTAGTTCAAAAGTTTTCCTATATGGTACAGTGTATAACATATCGTATTATAAATTCCACTGGGGAAGTAAACATAGAACCCACAACAACTCATCCAAGGAGTTATCACTGAAAGTAACAATGTGTTTGTGTTCCATGATCTATAGAGGGGGTTAAAAAAGTTTACATTTTGAAACAAAATTCTTCCTTGAAGAGTGAAATTACTTATACCACTTTAAACTGCAAAAGTTCTACCCAGAAACTCTAAACTTTCCTGCCTTCAATCATAATCCTCAGCATCAGTGGCAACTTAGAATCTCTCAGGTGAATCTATATGAATCAAGTGATTTTTTTTCTCAAAGCATGATATACCTTACATTTATGCATGGCAGAAATGGAACTGCTCTTAAATTCCCACAAAATAAACAAGCCAAGTTATCAAGAAACAATATCCCTTGTCCCTTCTCTCCTCTGTTTCTTCCTTATTGTAATTAGGCAGAGCAAACGACACTGCGTCCACAAAGTAAGAATTAATGACAGTAATAATATTTAAAAAAAAAAAAAAAAGATATGTCAACATCTGAGGGAAGGTGGGATTGTAAGTGCAGTATTTCTTCATGTGCAGTTCGTTACTTCATAGGGGTCCCCTTTGGAATGAAAAGGCCTAGTGGAATGTGTGCTCCCCTCGAACGATGTGTGATGAAAACTCGTAACGGTCCTGGCTTCTGTAGCCACAGATGTTGCATTCCAGTGGGTCCCGGTAGCCATGGCAACCCATGTGAATGGTGTACATGACATGGTCTAGGAAAAGGACTCGGCAGTGCTCACATTTGAAGGCCCTAATCTGTTCTCCTTCCCCATTGAAGACCTTGTAGATGTCCTTCAGAGAGCCCTTAGGAGCCTTGGTATCCAAAGCTTTGACATCCTCCTTCATGTAAGCTGGGCTTTGTTTCCTTTTGGGATTTAAGGCAGGGTTTCCTTGGTAGGACTGGTGGTCATCGTGGCTGCTTTCTGAGTCCGTAGAATCCAGGCAGCTGTTGCTGGGGGAGGCCTCTCTTTCCTGGGGTCGACTCTTTGGTCTGATGAGGGAGAGAGGACCATCCATGTTGTTTTCATGACTATCGGAGGTTTCCCTGCTAATGGGTCTTTCGATCCTATTTGGATGATAGACCTGAGAATAAGCTGAGCTTATAACTGGGGCCACCTCAGCGATTGTGCTCGGCGGGTGCTGCATCAGTGGGTGAAGGGCCTCAGCTCCAAGGTAGGTGATTGCATTGTTGATGGCTTGGTCCATCATATGAGACTGCATTAGCTCAGCCTCCTTCTCATATGTTAAGTTCATATCAAAGTGAATGTCTGGGTAGCTGAATCGCATGAGCTTTTCCCCTGAAAGGAGGAGGGCGAGAAAAGTAAAAAACAAAATACAACAAAATTAGTGATTGGATTAAAACATAAGTGTATAAAGTTAATAGTCTCCATGTTCTGTAATATGATAATCTTATTCTTTAGATCAAGCATTTGGGCTCTTGAATTCTGCTGAGACTCACAAATACTCTCAACCTGCAAAGAGGATTAGTAATAAGAATTTCACAAGCCATTTGCGCTTGTTTTAATGCCATCATGAAAATGCATCTAGCCTGAAAGGTCTGATTGACTGTGTTATCTTATTTTCATTCTCAATTAAAATTTCCACTTGTCTACAGCTCAGTGACTATAGGTGGAAAAAGAAATACCAGGTGAAAATAAGTCAGAGACTATGCCTGTTTTGCATATTTTAGACATCGGTGACCAAGCCACAAAGATCACAAAAGCGAGAGTGATCTGCTTATAACATCTGTCACCTCACTGTTATATAGGGTTAATTTGGTTGATTTGATGGCTATGTTAGGAAAAAAAAAAATCATAGAGTCCGTATACGTCACCCTGGAGAATTAAAAAAACCATCACCATTAAAATACTGTTAAAAGATGTGTTGTTTAGGGGTGCCTGGGTGCTCAGCTGGTTAAGTGTCTGACTTTTTGGCTCAAGTCATGATCTCAGGGTGATGAGATGGAGCCCTAGGTGGGGCTCTGTGCTGGGCATGGAGCCTACTTAAGATTCCCTCTCTTTCCCTGTCCCTCTACTCCCACCCATCTGCTTGGTTTGCACTTGCTCTCTCTTTCTCAAAAAAAGTTGTATTGTTTGATAAATTAAATGAAATTTAGGACTGTATACATATAGGAGTTATTTCCAAAAAGAGATTATTTATAAACTTGGAAAATACTATGTTTTGTTGTTTTGCTTCTTGAAATGGAGAATTCATCATTTTTATACCACCCCTTCCTTATTCAGATATATGGGCAATGGTGCTGGTATGTACACCCATTGTTAATTTTCAATACTTTATCTTGACTGAAGGATTTTTGTAGTTTTCCCTTTAATATTTACTTTGACTAATTTATACTTTACTTCAAGATTAACCATGAAGAGTTCTGTGCATAAAGCAGAAGTAATTTTAATTTTTCTCTTTTAAATACTGCCAGCTTTGGACAGCATATTTTATCTTTTTAAAATTCTGTCACTAAATGTGGTCTCCTACTAACTGCTTGTTGTGTTGATAGGTAAAGCTCACAGATAAAGACTCCCTAAAAATATATGTGGACTTCTTATAAATGTTTAGTATGTTATAGATGGAGGCCTAATTTGTAATGTTCATTAAAAAAATGTCCACAGAAGAGTATTCTGGAAAAACACTTTCAGATAGCTAGTATTAATTTCAGGTTTGAAGAATGGTCCCCAAAGTAAGATAAGGGAAATGATCAGAGTAATGAAAACGGAAGCAAAAAAATGATGAGACCTTATCTCATGGCATTCAATTTAAGATATCACAATGTTAAGAGTTTAAAAGGTGAGCCAGACAAATCTAACCTAAATTCTTTAAGCTCAATTTAGAGGGAGTAACAGCAATTTAGGGCTCATTATTAATACAGTGTGATATATGTTATGAGGTCAAATAAAAGGAATACACAACTAGGGGAGTAAAAGAAGACTTCTTGAAGAAAATGGCATTAGAGATAAGAATGTGACGACAAATACTAGCCAACTAAAGGAATGTAGGGGTGGAGCTGCTGGTAGGAAGGCTCAGAAGCAAGAGGGCATGACTTGTCAAGGGATTACTTATATCTCACCATATAGCTGAGAGTGGAAATAGATGAGGAAGATGGAAAAGATAATAAAGGGGCTTATTCAACAGCTAAGGAATTTGAATTTTACCCAAGGGCAATAAGGATTAAAAGGGTTAAACGGGGAAGTGACTTGATTAGGCATTTATTTGTTGAGATGGTTTAGGAAGTTATTGCCGTAAAGATCATGGTGGCCTGAATTAGTACACTGGCAGTGGAAATGGAGAAAATTGGATGGAATGGAGAGACATTTAGAAAATATAGTTTCTAGGGCTTGGTGATTATCTAGACCTAGAATATGCAAAAGAGAAAGAAGTTATTTCTGGCCTAGGAAACTTAGTGGATGGCAAGGAGATAGAAAAGATGATGAGTTCACACTGTGAAAGACTGAGTAACAGTCATGGTTCAGTAACTACTAAAATATAGTCTCAAATTTCGGAGACAGACCTCTGCTTGAGATGTGGATAGTTAAGTCATCAGCTGATAGAAAGTGACTTCTGAAGCCATAAGAAGAGAAGATACAACCCAAGCATAGGTAAAGTGTGAAGAAGAGAAGGTCAAAAATAGAACCTGGAAGAACACCAAGACTTCTAATGCCTCCCCAGACCAAGGCAAGTTGGATTCTTGCACTGGGCCCCATATTTACAGAGTTTTTTTGCTCCTCATGGAATGAGGAATGTATACAGCCAAGGGAATGTGCCTATCTGGAGAGGACTGCCTAGACCATATACCCTACATAGCCATGGCCCCAGAATTCCTTGCTCAGATGGCACTGAGCTTGCACGAAGGGTAAGCACAGTCCTTGCCATAGGGTCTCTCCTCCAGAGCACCAATTTGTGCTGCTGGTATTCGTACACTTAGGTCTGAGTAGTGGCCAACACACTACTCTTCATGTGCTGTGTGTGGGGTCCAATGTGAGAAGAACTAGAATGCACAGGCTGAGAAGTCTACATACAGGTGCATGAGGCCCTCCTTTCGGTACTGGACATAACCAGAAGTAGGTCTAAGAGAGAGGCCTGACTGCAGGTTAGGCGATGGTTCTGCTCAGGCTGTCAAGGTCTGGTGTGGAACTCTAAGGAATTGAAGGATTCTATATTTATTTGAACTCAATCTTCCAAGCTAGGAAGGATAGGACACAGTAGTTTTTCAGCTTGATTTAAAATATTAAAATATTGAGGCACAAGAATGGAGGCCTCCATTAGACCATTTGCTCCCTTTGCATAGCTGTTAAGGGCAAATTCATAATGAAGACTGAGAAGAAGCAAAGAAGCTGAAGAAATGCAAGGAGATCAATGTCACAGATACCAAGGAAAAAAGTGTTTCAAAAGGAATTAATTATTCAAGAGTGGCAAATGCTCTCTAGGAGTTGTGTAAGATAGTCTAAAAAGGGTCCACTGCACTTGGCACTATAGAGGCTACTGGTGACCTTAATGACGAAGAAAGCCAGGTTGCATATACTGGGGAATGAGTAGAAAGAAAGAAATTATGGGAAGCAAGCATAGAAAGAGAACTCTTTCAACAACTCCCATTTTTGAAGAGAAGGAAAAAGTAGGTAGTAGCTAGAAGAAGACTTGGGTTTTAGGGAAGATTTTTTTTTTTAAATGATGAGAATTTATTGTATTAAATACAAAAAAGGAAAATGCCAAGAGAGGGAAGAGGTTGAAAATACAAGTGAGAAAAAGGAATAATAATGTAAGATATTTGGGGGGCTGGGATAGAATTCCAGAACACAAGAAGAGGAATGAACCTTAATTAGAAAGAGGGATACTTCTTTTATTGAAACAAAGAAGACAAAAAGTATTCATATAAATGCACATAATCTTTATAAGACCAGTGATATTATACTGAAACTATTTTGACTGATTTATTCCCTGTAAGCTGAGATATAATACCATCAAGGAGTAAGATACAATGTTTGTGGAGAAGGAAGAAATGCTGAAATGGCCCCAGGGTTGAGTAGGAGCGAGGACTGTTGTAGGATGGATTGAAGGAGGGCTGCTACACATATGGATGGAACAACTGATACTTATTCATTGATTTACAGTGGCTTATTCATTGATTTATAGTGACACCAATTTGTAAGGCTGTGGGATTTTCTCCACAAGTACTAGCAGCTTATAGATATGGGAAAGATGTTCCTCTTCTCACTGGAGAGTGGAGTTTCACCAAGAGAAGGTGATAGAAAGGCAACAAAATAAGAGAGTCAAGAATATTGTCAAGAGAGTGGTAAAAGTGATTAACCATGGAATCTAAGCTGGATATGACAAAGAAAGGAGGATGCAAAAAGATATGCAGAAAGTACAGGGATTGTTGGTCTGGAAGGTTTGGTAAGGTCAAAGAGTAGTATTTAACTGAGGAACATGGTAAAAAGGAATTTATTTAAAAAATCACAGAGACAGCGTGTGATTGTTTTTGTATTTTTTAGAAAGGATAATCCAAATAAAAAATACCACTAAATTCCTAATAAAAAATCTAATGTTATTTTATTACTTCTTTTTTTAGAAATGTTTTTAAAAAATCAAAATGTAATTTAAAAAGAATCTGTCCCTCTTTTCTAAGGAATGTGATCAAATCAAATTGGGACTAGTATCTCTAAGTCATAGGAAACAGAAATATTTCAAAGAGCAGAACTAAATAGATTCAGAAGATGTAAAGGCATATTTTTCCAATGATACTAGTTTCTAGTTGGGATATAGGCATATAGGCATTTTAATGGACATCCATCAAATTGATCAGTTTATAAAACTGATGAAATGGCAATTAAAAAAATAGTTATTTATAAAAAGGAAGGGAGAAAGACAGAAAGAAAAGTAACTTGGGGCCCAAGGCAGGCGTTTGAGTATTCCTGCCGGAGCTTTAAATTGACCTAGGACCAACTGTGATTCCTTAGGGCTGGTCTCTAGCCTTTTTTTTTTTTTTTTTTTTTTTTTTTTCAATGAGCTCTGTCAGTAAATCTCTCCGGCTTGTCTTAAAATGATATTTTGGTGATTTGTCAGTTCTTTAGTTTTAGATTGGAAGGAAATCTCTAAGTGATTATTGGAGTAAAAGAATTTTATTAGCCTTCCCTCCCTGAAATAACGAGAGAATACTGTCTCCCATTCACCACTCAACCCACAGCAGGATGTTCCGCAGTACTCTTTGACACTAGAACGTGAGAATCTATTTGAAAATCTTTCTCTTCTAATTTTTACCCTATATAAAGTCTGTAAGAATAGATATATTACATATATAATCAATGGCAATTCTTTATATAGAATCACTATTTTTAGACATTCTTAAAAAGCTTGGATGCTTTTTGCATCCTTAGAGACACTTTATGACTTAGAGCATACAGAATGATGCCAACTCTGAGCGTTATTAAAAATAAGGACTTGGAAGTGAAAAAGAAAAGTCTAAGTATATCATATTTAATCTTTTTGTTTCAAAACCATAGGCTGGATGAAAACAAAGATCCAAATACGAAAGCTCTTGAATGTAGGCTGCAGCATTGTTTTTCTAATGCAGAGTTTTGGGGGGAAAAGATTTCTCTTAATTCCAGATCAAACAGAGAAAGCACTAATATCATGTAAAGAAAAGAGTTTAAAGACCTGGCACTAATGCAAACTGGAAAAGAGATGACAAAACTGCCTTCTAGGCAACATCATTTTCCTTAAGTATTTTTATTTTGTAAATGAATGAACATTTTATTTTATATACTACTATACTTTCTATATAATTTCATTTTGAGATATCAACTTCTATCAGTCTTTTATTTCCTAGGTCCATATATCTAAGGGGGTGTGTGTGTGTGTGTAAGTGTAGTACCCACAGAACAGTATAAAGTAGAAATGAATAATGGGCAAAAGAAATGGCTATTTATCTCTTGAGCTAAAATACACCATCTATGTTTCTAATACATGAGAACCTACTTCTGCCCATTAAAAACACCTTTTAAGAAGTAAAATCATTTGTAATGCTTACCCACAAACTTTTGTGGAGTGGAGCTTTTACGTTTTCCCATATTCCCTGTGAGCTTCTCTATGACAGCAGGTCTCTCAAAAGGCACCAGAGAAATATTGTTGTCCATGATAGGCTCTTGTTCCTTACAATCTTCCATAGGAGGTACTATGTAAAACCATACAAAAGATGCAATCTGATAATTTCTTCAACATTTTAAGAGCTACAAAGCTGGATATGCCACTCAATATGTGTTAACATAAGCTAGTGTGCTTGAATAAAAGTAGAAAGAACGATCTTTAGTGTTAAAGTACACGCTCTAATTTTACACACACACACACACACACACACACACACACACACAGGATTTGTTTTTATCTGAGTCACTCTCAGATCAATGACATAAACTGTTGGCCACTATTGGTGGCAAATACGTTCATCTTGTTTCTCATCTTACTCCTCTGAAGGTGTTTTCAACATTGATTAAAATCAATACCACTTTAAGACTGCACGATTTTCAAGGCTTCTGGAGTTTATTTTTCTAAAACAATTTAAGTAAGTCAACTTTATTTTGCAGGAAAGCTTAAACAGACACACAGAGTAACAGCACAATATTTAACCAGTTTTTTTTCCCCTCCCATGTATTCTCCTGTAGCAGATTTCCTATTGATGAGCTGAGTGAGCTTTTAGCCCCATCGGCAGCAGAAAAATACCTGCACAAAGAAGCCTCCATGAAGGAGTTCCAATTCTGAGCATGTCTACACAAGTGGCCGCTTTATGGCTGTAATTTATTTTAAACAGAGCTCTTCGGCAGGATAAGAAAATTCCATTTCCAAACTGGCATATTTGCTCAGTAAACAACTGCTCTAATTCACTTGGCGTAAACTCTCCAGAGCTGGTCCCTCTTCATCCCGTTTGTCTAAGTTGCTGTGGGCTAACAGATGAGCTCAGAGATACTGACATTAGAGATGGACATTTATAGTACAGACACAGAACTTATGTTTAAGGGTACAGATACAGATGAGATCAATGACAGAAGCCAATGTTCACAGGAAAGACCATAACTTATTCTTCATTATGGTTGCTTTCTCTAAATTGTGCCTGTGCCAGTACTGTTTAGGAGCCTAAAGGTTTCACATCTTAGACTACTTTTACTTGCTCCGCATATACTGCAAGATGATTTATTCTATACCTTTCATTTGTAAAGGATAGTTCTACTATGTGAAAAACAATACATTCTCATTTATAAGGATGGACACTAAAATAAAATGAGAAAGCAGGAGATGAAAGTTAAGAAAATCCAGTGCACAATTCAGGTGACCTACTTAATAACCAACACAGGTTGCTGATTTTGAAGAAATGAAAAATGGCAACAGAAAAATGTTTTCCTAATTTGGACATGTTTAAAGAAATTGATACTCAATCTAAGTTTTGGGTTAACCTAGTATAGTCCAGTGGATAGGAAAGAAAAATTTACTCTTCAATGTCTGTAAGATATGGCTACGATTGACAAGGGATGCTGCAATTACTAGATTTAAATTAGAAGTAAGGAAACACTCAGGTCATTTTCTGTACTGACATAATCCATGATATCATCAAGTGGAAAAATATATATTCCAAGATAGTACATAAAACATTATGTCCTCTTTCAGCAACAACTAAAATAAAAACAAGAACTTAAAAGTAAAGAAAGGCTGACCAAGAAATTCAAACAAGGGTGGTCAGGAGGATGGAATGGCAGTGGAGAATGGATATGGTTAGGAACCATTAATTAGATACAGATTATCAGAATCTTAACTTTTCTTTCGGGTGGTGAATTTATAGGCACTTACTACATTATTAAACATAACTATAAAGCTAAAAAACAGGCCATACACAGACTGAAGATGAAAATATGTCACAAACTAGGATCCAAAATGAAAGAAGGAAAGAAAAAAAGGTTTGTTGTTGTAAATTTTGCTAGAAAAACAGCAAAACTGGTTAACGGGGTTTGCCCCCAAATTGAATATATTAATTAGTTTTGAAATGAGTAGTCTAAAACTTGGCAGTTTTGCTCTAAGTCTAACCTTGAATTTTCATATTTGCACACATTTAACACTCAAAACGAAACCTGGGTGTGCGAACTGTCCCACACCACATCCACCTCAATTCAAATGATTTGTCCCAAGTTCAATGAAGCTCATGTGAACTGAAAACAATGACTTTGTCAGAGCTCTAGTCTTACTTCTATTTTATATCAGCCTTTCACATATCAAATATTGATCCTGTTTTTACCATATCAGCAACAATAATAATAACTGATACATACTATGTGCTAAGTACTGTTCTAAGACTGGATTTAATAATTTATTTAATCTTTTCAATAACGCCCTCGAGATAAGTACCATCTCCATTTTACTGATGGGGAAACAAAACTTCAGAGATTCCTTGGGGTTTACATCTTGTTAGTAAGGACTATAGGAGTTTAACTTAGGTGGCTGGGCTCTAGAGTCTGGGCCCTTAGTCATGCTACACTATTCTTTTGTAGGCATAATTTGAGTGTTGACTTTTCATAAACAAGTTCGATATATTTTTAAGGTCTGCCGTTGGGAAAAGATCTGGTACATTTTCTCAATTATGTAACTAATCTGAATTTTTTCTTTCTTTCAAGGATCTGGGTACAGTGTTTGGGCTTGAAACCCAAAACAAGTTCTTAAGTTAACTTAATAAGGCACAGTCACATAAAGAGATTTATCTAGGGTAAGAAAACACTAATAAACTAATCTTACTTGTTAGAGCAAACTTGATAACCAGATATCCTCCTCGACCTTACTTTTGATGTTATAACCAAGATGCAAATAATTTCATATTTGTACTATTTCATTATCTTGTCACATTGAAAAATCTTAAAGACAGAAGCATCTAAGAGTGTTCCCAACATAGCTATTTGTACCAAACAGTCCCCTGAAAATTCAAAATCCAAGAAGAGAGAAGCTGAGGGACCTGGATTGTAGGTCACATGTCCACCCTCTGGACAAGAGAGGGCAGAGAACCTAGGCTGACAGTTCTGACATGGCTTCATGCAATGGGAGACAGTCCTCTAAAGGAAAATGGAAACTTTATTATCAAAAGAAGAAGGAAGGTATGTAGGGCAGGCAAAAGTGATGGAAGTCTTCTACACTGTCACACATTTTCTCCATGCTGCCAATTTATACATAAAACAAATTCAGTTCTCTTATTTTCTTGACAACATCCAATGTGCAAATACTTGCTTGCTTTGGCTTCTGAAATCGCTTCCCATTCTCTCATTCTCTGCTCTTACTCATCTTCATGGCTCTTTCTTCTTTTCTTTCCTTTTTTTTTTTTTGTCTTTTTTTTCTTCCCGGTATGTTGGTATGTTGTTGGTATTCCAGATGTCTCATTCTGTAGTTACCCACATGACTCTGGAAAACGTATTACTTCAGGCTACCACCTATATAATGATGGCTCCCAAATATGTATTTCCTACCCAGACCTCTCTTGAAAACTTGAGATCTATATATTCAGCTTCCTCTCCGTTTCATTTGGCAGTTCAGTCTTTCACAGGTCCCGAGAAGATAATGTGTTCAAAATCTGAAATCTCTGTTTCCCATCCTAAACATTCTCCTATTTTCCTAATCACCACCTTCTTGAATGGCACCATTATCTACCGGGTCATCCATGCTAAACATCTGCAGCAAATGCTAGGTTTCTTCCTTTCACCCAGTCTCCTTCCCCTTCTCTCTACCACCTCCTCTTCATGGACACACATGGAGGTACTATGGATTTTAGGTTCTACACCTTCAGTTCTCAATTTTTAACTGTATATTCTAGACTATTGACCAATCAGGAGAATGTTGCAATGATCTACTTGCTTTTGTCTTGACTCTTCTGATTGATGTCCTGTATTTCTAGCAATTAAATGTTAATCCACAATTACTTTTTAGGGTAAAGTACAAAATTCTTTGCTTGGCACAACTGGCCTTTGATATTCTGTTCTCGGACTATTTCTCTGATCTTATCACCTTCTAATTTCTTTTGCCCTTACAACCTGTGCTCTAATTCTACCGGTTACTTGTAGGTCCTTAACTTACCATGCTCTTTAGGCTTCTTTTTCTTCACACATGCTGTTCTCGCTGCATAAAGGACTCTCCCATTTATTTAGCCGCCTTCTTGCCTGTCAAATCTCCACTCAAACATAACTTTCCCCAGGAATTCCTCTTGGACACCCAGAGTCTGATTTGGACATCTATCCTATATGCCCCTATAAAGCTTGTCAGACAGTGTTCTGTTGGTTTACTGGTTTATTTCTTCCAGTGGTTGGTAAGTACCTTATGGTAGGGGCTGTATTTTATTTGTGTCTCTAGTACTTTTTATGATGTGAAACAAATATAACATTCAATATATTTTTACTGAATGACTTCATGAAGGAAATAATGTTACCCAATGAAAACAAGTTGAAGAAGTTTCCAGGTTCTTAAAAATGTTCCCTAAACTGCAATAAAGAGCTTTCCTTTCTCAAATAATTAAAAGCATAAACTTAAGAATATATGTTCTTGCTTTAAAGCTAGCTATCTTTTGGTTCATGTTTTCATTTTTCTCTTCTGGCAAGGGGGGAAAAAACTAATTATATACTTTGGCGTTTAAGCTTTTTCTTCAAGCTAAACAGACTTCAAAAATGAGCATAAAGATAATTTTCAAATAAGATAATCTGTCATAAAATTCAATATTATTATCTTTATTTCCAAATCTACAAGACATGAATTTTCTCCTTTTCTCTTAAACTCAAAACTTCTAAATCTACCTCCTAAAATATGTTTTAAGCATTTCACCCTGTTCTCCTCTCCTGCTACTGCCTTCTCATCTTTTCCTTAGCATTCTCACCTCCAGTCTCTCTCCCCATATGTCAGTCAGGCACCTCTCCTATATTCTACATTGGTGACATTTTTCCTTATAAGACACAAATCGGATTACCTCAGTGGAATTCAGACATTGGATTAACATAAAAGAGTCCATTTTTGCATTACAACCAATTATGTCCCTGTCATTTCCTACCACTTCTTTAACTCCAACTATGTTCGATGCTCAGGAACCTGCTAATGTTCTTTTATACCTCCAAGTGTTAACCTGTGGCAACTGCTCTGCCTGGAACAAAAATTCTCTGTGAATCTAATTTGTATGATTTTTTTCTCAACCTCATGTGTGAATCAAGCACTGCATGTAAGAAGCTTTCCTTGATTTCTCCAGACAGAGTTAGGTCAGCTCTGCATTTGTGCTCCTCTAGAAGTGTGCACACGTCTTTATTTTATTCATCTTCCTTTAAAGTACATATTTCCTACCATACTATAAATGTAAGAAAGAAATTATGTCCATTTATCTTTATACCCCCAGAATGTTTTGTAGAAATGGACACACAGCAAGCCTTCAATAAATGTTTCCTGAACGCAGTGAAAGAACATCTCTTTGAACTCAGACATCCCCTTCCCTAGAAGAGTCAACATGGGGAAGAACATGTTTTAGGAAAGAGAGGCTAGGAGACATAACTATGTCAGATATAAATGAAACGATAAAGAATAATAATTTCAAGGAGCTAATGGCAACAACAATGATGGCAACCCCCACCTCTACCACTAAAAGAAAAGATAAAAAAATAGACAAGATATAGCATGATAGTAAGAGAGGGAAGGGGATAAATACAAATTTCACTGTAACTGTCTTTAAAATGAGACACATGCCAAGCTATGTATCTGAGACAAGGTTAATGATAAACTCTAGGAGCATTTTGCCCATATTTTTTTCCTTTTATGGCATTTATCAATTCCTACCCCATACATCCAATCCTGCATTAAGAATGTTAACAGAAGAAAAAGATTAAGGATAATCTCAAATTATTATTACCACATGCCCAAAGAAGTACAGCATGAAATGATATTAATATAAACTTATGTGGTTAAAACTATATCCAATACTGAATAACAAATATTTGGGTCTATAAATGATACCAAAACCTATCTTCTCCTCCCTCCCTTCCCATACACTTATCTTTGGCTTTGTCCCCTGCTCTACCCAGTACCTGACTGTCTTTCCCACTTTCCCCATTTTGTTCCAGTTTTAGAGCAACCTATAAAGGACTTTTAATTATTACGAGCTAAGCAATCTGGGAGACGAGTGTTGATGCTACGGCTGGTTACAAGTCCCCCTGCCCCAAATGGACCTGCTTAATTTTTCGTCAGCACTTATTCTATAACTGGTTAATTTGCCAACACATAGTTAAATGTTGACTATTTATGTACATTTTACCTCCCTATAATAACATACAGTCTTTCAGAAGAGACTCTATTTCTTATTCAGATGTGCGTGCAACACACTTTTCACTGAGTTTCATAAAAAACTCAATGGCAAAGGAATTAATAGAATTAATAATCCAAGCAAATGTCAAAACGACAAGGAGAGAACATTATATGGAAAAAATAGTAGTAGGACCACAAGGTGTCTTTAGAAAATTTTGGCATGCCCTCAAGCTTCTATCAGTTACCCTGCCTCAAGCCACTTCTAAAAATGACAATTTAAACAGAAACGGCAAATGAAACCTCAAATGCCTAAGTTAATGCTGCTGGTAAGTAACAACTTTATAGGGCATGGAACATTTAACATTTCTTCATATTTAGTGCCTTGAAATGTAAGAGTGAAAAGAACCATTTATTGGGTATTTATTGCATATCTAATCACATTTAGCTCTTACACCAAGTCTGTGACACAGATGCCACACAGCCAGGCCAGGTTTGTTGGACTCCTAGACCCACCATTTTAAATTCCCTGCTCTGGGTCCAATGCTAACCTCATTAGCTGAGGTAATGCAACTTGCAATGTCAAATTTACTAAGACATAAAACACAGACAGGCTTTCAAAAATGTTAGTTAATAATATAAAAACAAAGGACTCATTCACAACAAAAAGTAGAATTAAAATAGTTCTTTAGATTATATAAACTATCCTTAAGAAGAAATGCTTCAATTATTCAGGGTAACAAAATAAATATTTTAAATTCCCAACTCAAAAACAAATAATTACTTGCTGCCCAATAAACAGTTTCACAGCATGTACTACATAAAACAAAACCCACAAATAATCCTTGGGCTGTCTGTAAGTTGCTAAATAGACATTTATATTTTGAAAATGACTATAGCGTTCTCCAATTATATTATTTGATACTGGCTAAATCTTTTTAAAATAAGAGATATAAATGCAACAGTAAATTAAGATTTTTGTATGTACTTATATGAATGATAAAATTAATCAGTATACAAATATAATTAAGAGGACAGGACAGATGCTTCAAGTCTAAAGAACTGAAATCATTACTTTGTAAATCTGATTTACCAACATTAATTTTTCAGTAACAAAGAGTTATTAATTGGTAAACCTTAGAAACTACCTTTCCACCTGCTGTTGTATATTCTGGCAATGAGGATGTTTTGCTTGGGTTTTGATTTTTGTGGAGGGAAGTGGTGCCCGATTTTAGTCTAGATTGTTTCCTACACTTAGTAGAAAGCAAAATGAGTAATTTCCAAGATAAATCACAAAACAGATTAGAGATATTTCCTATTACATCAATTATATCACTGATCACTCACCTAAGAGAAGTGAAAATACACAACCAACTCTTTTAGGAACTGTACAGACTTTCCTAGAACCCTTTCTAACTATTTGGTGCCTCCAATGAGCAAATACTATCTTCCTTTGGTGTATTCAAAGTCCGCTGTCATTATTATGTTAATTCAAATGCAGGTTATCAGAAATAATTTGGGATTTTCACAAAAACTCAGGACAGCTTGTTTGCCAAGCGTCGCAAAGCTCAACTCATTTCACATGCTTAAGAAGATAATCCCATTGGGGCACCTGGGTGGCTCAGTGGGTTAAGCCTCTGTCCTCGGCTCAGGTCATGATCTCAGGGTCCTGGGATCAAGCCCCGCATCGGGCTCTCTGCTCCGCAGAGAGCCTGCTTTCCCCCTCTCTCTCTGCCTGCCTCTCTGCCTACCTGTGATCTCTCTCTCTCTCTCTCTCTGTCAAATAAATAAATAATCTTAAAAAAAAAAAAAAAGATAATCCCAGGCAAAAGTTAATGTGATCTGAAATTGTTTTAAAAAGAGTAGAATTCGATCTTCATCCTCAAGGGTAGAGAGGACTGTCTAGCCCCTAAGGAACTACAAAAGCAGTGAGAGGGGAATGAAAATGGTGAATGCCATTTCTACCCACCATGGTGACTCATGACCTGCCCCGCGGCCTCCATGCCGACATTCTGGAGATAGTTGTGGCAGCGTTCCTTGTGCTCCTCCAGTGAACTGCGCTGCTTGTAGCTTCGTCCACAGTAGTTGCACTTGTGAGGTTTACCCACTGTGAAGAGAACTCGAGATTAGTGGTGCCGTCCAAAGCAAAATTAACATCTGACTTTTGATAGTGTGGAGGAAGCATTTATATGCTTTTCAGACTCAAATCTCTTCCTCCTCCACACTCTGATTTAGGCAAGAAAAGCTAATAAATTTCTACCAAGACTAAAAGAAGATAAGGCAGATCGTACCTTTGGTGATAGGGGAAATACTGAATCAAATTCATGCTCTGACTGTATCCTAGATCATGAGGGGCTGATGATCAGTCTTCACATTATCTGACTCGTAACACTAACATTTGCTCTTACACAATTCTCTCAGCTTTGACTCATTCAAAAGACAAATCAGGAGTGTCCTAGATACATGGTGAGAATTTTTTTTTTTAATTTATTTTTTAGGGAAATAAGGACAGAATTTTTACTGAAGAAAACTAAAAGGCAACAAATGGAATGTCATTGTTTAATGAAAAGATTATTCACTGTAGGGGACCAAGGGCCCAAAAAGAATTTAAGTGATGAGAAAAAGTACAGATAAAAGCAGAGTTTCTCTTTTCTTTCCCTCTTGGTAATAGCTCTTCACACATGCAAAACCTGACAGCAGATAAGTGTACTCTCCCACATCAGCACTGTGCTGACATTACCAAGAATTAGCCTACTAGGTGCTTTGAGTCAGGACTATTAACAATAACCACTGAAGTCCTAACCTATTTAGCTATATGATGATAGTAACATTTTCTTCTCCATCTTTTTTTTTTCCTCTAATGCATTTCACATTCAGGAAATGAATTATTTCCTAGTAGCTAGAGAGCCATATCTCAGTATACCAGGTAAAATACTTCGATGCTTATGTTAAAAAAAAAAAAAAAAAAAAAACACCTTCAAAGAATTGATGAAGAAAAACACACTTATGGAAAGAGACATGTTTTACTGTATGCCAATTCACAAGGATATCAGAGAGCACTTTGATTCTTGGTTTTGAATAAATACAGAAACAACAGGTCTGTGCCGAAGCCCTTGGTAGTAAAACATAGTGTGAATCAGGTCAGTGGCCCTCATCTGACACAGGAATCACTTTGTTTTGCCCAGAGGACAAAGACCACTCTTTTTCATAGTTAAAGATAGTATCCCTCACTTCAGTCACCTTACAAACCCACACTATGACACTGGTCACAAGTGGAATTGAAATACTGTAACAAGGCTTTCAGAGCTGCATAGACACTTCACCATACTGATTAAGAACAAAAAACAAAAAATAAAAACCCACCAAATTTTTAAAATGTATTTGAGGTGCACATAAACTGTTATTTCATGATCATAATTTCTGCAAATAGTTTTAAATAAAAACTATCTAAAGCAGGATTAATCATTTCTAAAAATACTAAGCAAACAAAGATTTATTTTTCAGAAGAATTTTTATATATTGAACCAAGTTTGTCTCTGATATTGTGAAGAATCTTTATCACTGTGTGAGAACATTAAAAATGACAAGAACCTACTTTTAGTCAAAAACATTTCATGTAAATAGTGTAAATATATTTGCATGTAGTTCCATTTTAAGATATGGAGTTACATATTACAAAAAGCTTTTGCTTGGTATCACTGTTACTTAATTTTGTTTTTTTTAGTACTGTTTTTCTAGAAATAAGTGAATTTTCCCTAAACAAGTCTACTTACTAAGCACATACACTGTGCTCAATAGCCCATGTCAACTAGTTTCATCGTCTCTGTCTTCTCTTTATCGGTCCTATTGCATTGTGTCCTAGGATACCTGTTTTACTATGAACATATAATCCTTTACTTTCTTCCCCTTATTTATATAAACCTGAAACCTTCTGAACTTCATTTAAACATAGTTCCCTTCCACTCCCCTTGGCTCACAGCCCTCAGTGAACTTCTAACTCACCCACCAAGGAAGCAAAGGGTATACATATTACTGTTTTCAAAACTCATTTTTTACTAACCTCATTTTTTGAGATCTATCCTTTCTGCCTTACTTCAGCTTCTCCCATTTGATACCTGTTTTAAAACATCACTCTTTCCTCTTCAACCCAATTGGAGTGAACTGTTCTAGAAGTATTATTTCAATTTCTCCAAAATCTTGATCTGGGTTCCACTATAGCAATCCACATACTGGGCAACAACATATGTTGTAACTGTTTTATCTCTAGGACATTTACTCTGGAAATGCTCCACTTTATCCTTCTGCCTCTCTCAACTAATACATATTTGTTAGATACCTATTATGTACCAACAACACTGTGATGAGGCTGGAATGTAATGTAGAGAACAAATTCTCATGGTGCCTATCCTCATGCAAATGACTGGTGAGAAAGATAGACATTTAACAAATATATAAGCAATATATTACAAATTGTGGTAGATTCTATAGAGCAAAAGAATGGTGTGTTAGCATAAAACAGGGAACCTAATTTAGTTCGAGAAGGTTGGACAGGAAGGTCTGCCTGAGGTAGGAACACTTCTGCTGATAACTGAAGGAAAAGTAAGTTAATCAGATAATGGGGGATGGGGGCGCAGGGTGGAGGAGAGGCAGTGTTTCAGGATTTCTGGGAACTGCCATCTTGTATTTGTTTTCATGTACTTAGCTCCTTCAAAGTCTAAATCATGCTCTTACTACTCTTTTGAAAATGATTTTCAAACATCAACCACAATCCTTGTCAGATCCAATGGCTCTACCATCCCCACAAGACCACTTCTTGTCAGTTCTTTGATATTTCTTAAAAATAAAGTTCATGAAAATATTATTTACATTTTCTCCGTATAATAAGTTTATTTGCGTAATACTTATAAACCATGTGTTAATATGTATAACACATTATCTTGCATTTATTTTTATAAATATTATATTCTCACCATCTGAAACACCTTAATTCTGATACTACAGACATTTTTATAAAGTCATCAATAGCTTCTGAATCACTAAATCCAGTGAACTTGGATTCTAAATCTTCCTAATTTCTTGGCCACTTTCAAATTTGCATTTGCCTTGAATCTCTTGTTTTAGCTTCTGGGATCAGGTTCTGTGTTCCCCCTCACTGGCTTCTCAACCTCTTCCTACCTGGCAAATAGATACATAACTTCCGATTTTTTTCTCACTATAATAGTCTCTCTCTGTTCCCTCTAGATTAAGCCCTCATTTTTGTGAAATGTCCAGATCCTGCCTGGAATAGTTTCCCATGTTTGTAAGCTGCTACTGGTCATTTACACCTTTATAGGATGATCTTGGTTAACCCAAAGATGAGTTTTCTCCTCTGTGCTCTCACAGTACTCTGTCCATAGTCTGATGATGCATTACTTAGGATTTCATTGTGATTATCCATATGATATCTATTCATCTTCGTAGTTCCAAAAAAATGAGCTCTGCCCTAAGGACAAAGGTCATGTTTTACTCAATTTTGAACTGATTGTGCTATGGTGGTTATTAAACACAGGAGATACTCAATACATATTTGCTGAGTGACTGCACTTCAAACTCATACTTTCAAATGCCTTTTGGGTATTGCCTTGTGCTTATTCCTCTGAAATCTAAAATTCAACATATCCAAAATTATCTTCCTCTACAAAACTACTTCTTTATTAGGACTATTCTTTTGTCACTGTTATCACTGTTAAAATAACCTGGATTTGCAACAGCCAGCTCCTTTTGTTGCCTCCTTAACCCTTTCCACATCCAACTGCTGAATTACACAGACTCAACTCCTTCGGTGTTTCTCAAGTTTATCCTTCCTTTTCAATCCCACAACGGAGAAACAAGTTCAATTCTTCATTACTAGCCTATGCTGGCCTAACAGATTTTAAACCAGGTGTTCTCTTGTGTAATTATTTAGTCCCCTCCTTAAAAACCCTTACTGACTCTTAACTTCTATCAAAGTCTAAATCCCTCTACCTGGCATCCAGTATACCATACTAACTGGTTCCAAAGCATACATCCCATCTTCTACCCCAGAATTCAGCCAAAATCACCTTGAGCTTTCACACTTGTGTCTTAGTTCTTTCTGGAATGGCTTCATACAATTTGGGTTTCTTGAAATTCCATATATCCTTCCATTCCCAAACTCACTCATCTTCCATCTAAAAGTGATCTTTCCCATGAAAGAATCATAACCATATCAGCTCCACACCTAGGAAACATAATATTCTATTTGTGGCTGTTTATACATTCATTTTGATCTCCCATGTTAGACTGTGATCTTGAGATGTTGGAGCAATGTCTTACGTATTTTTGTAGCCTGCAACAAGTTATGGTGATTTATTCACAGAAAGAATAGGTTGGCGCTTCATTAATGACATCATTTCCTCACTCTTTAAATATTTTCCTCTCACTGGTTTTCCTTAAATTTCACTACATTTCCAATTTTCAAAGCAATATGTCTGTATAGAAAATACCAAAATTCACCAAAAAATTACTCATAATTTCACAATTTAGAAATAACTATCTTTAACATTTTTATCTTCTTGTATTTTTTCTGTACATGCAAAGACACATTTTGTTATGAAACTGTGTGTCTTTATACACTGTATTTATACTCTACTTATTTTACTATGTTTGAACATTTCCCTATGTTATAATATTTTTGTTGCGGAAGTTAGAGGACAATTTTTTTCCTAAATAGAATTATGATAATGTTGAATTACTTAGCTTGCTTAGTATTCCTAGTCCTTTTCTTATTTAATAATTATTTCTCTTTTTACTATAGTTATTTATGCCCACACCTGAAAAAAATCAAGTAGTCCTAAAAGGGCATTTAATGAAATACACAGTCTCCACTTCTCTCCCCCACCCCATCTAATCGTAATCTATTCCTCTGTCCTCTTTCTGGAATTTCTATTAGTTTGATGTTAGAACTACTGGACTGATTCTTTAAATTTCTTATCTTTGCCCCCCTTGTACTGATTGTCCTTTTACTCTTTTGACTTTAAAAAAATGTCCTCATTTTTTAATTTGAATCTTTCTGCTAAGTGTTTCCTGGTTATCATGTATTTTAATTTC